TAGGATGCCTTAACGTCCTGGACCCAGGATGCAGCTTCCTCATGGTGTTTAAAAAACCAGCCTCTGCAGCCCCTTTGCACTGTGGGCACAAGTGCTGGGGCACGTTTCTTAAGAAGCTCCTGTTTTTTCTTGCTCTGCTCACCAGTGTGGCCCAGGCCAGAGTCCCCTGTCCCTGGGCCAGAGAGGGCTTCTTAGTTCTTGCTTCAGGATCCCTCCCATGTGAGCTGCTCAGAGACTGTCAGCAGGGCAGGGCAGGGCACCTCGTCGGGTTGCCGAGGTCACAGTGGACCCCTGGGGAATAGCAGGCTTTGGGACATTTACATAGGCCTAGAGTTCCCTCAATCTTGGTCCCAGGAGACAGGGGCCACCCACAGAAGCCGGGCTGTGGCATGGAGGGATTCTCACAGCTGTGGTTTCCTCTGTCTCACAGCTACTCCTTTCTCTTGTGTCTGTCTGGACTTGTCCTTTTGCTCTGGCCAGAAGACTAACTGAGGAAATCCGTGGAAGCCTCTGCTCATTTGGGCTAGTTGAGCACCCTTGAGATGGGTGTGTTTATTTGCTTAGGGCAGGCAGCACATGGTGAAGAGGAGAAAGGTGATGGGCATACTTTGTCATGCGTAACACTGGCTTTATTTAAAGTGGTGGCTCAGAGTCTAGGCCAGACCTCTAAAGACTTTTCATAACAGATGTTGAGACTAGGCTGTGGGCTGTACCCCAGAGGAATGCCACGGCCCTCTGGGGACCTGTACACCCACTTCTCTGGGGGAGTTCACAAGGGTCCCTGAGGCCAAGGGAGGTCACGCCTCTCTCCAGGCCCTGACTTTTACTTTGCGGTTCTATAAAAACCATGTACACACTTTTCACTCTATTATAACCACACAGGGCAGGTGCATCCAGCATGTTAGTGTCCTGCCCTGGGCAGCTCGCCCTTCTGGGCACTCCCTCTCTGGTCTGGCTATTCACCAAGAGGGCAGTTCTCATTTTGTTATTGGCAGAAGAGCCTTGAGCTTAAAAGCTCTTCATTTTCTTTGGCCAGAGTATATGGTTTGTGTTTTCTCACTTTTATTTTTTTAAAGGATGGACACTTAATCTCTGGATGGTGTCCATGTGTCCATATTCCAACCCCAGTGGGTAGGATGGTGGCTTGATGTCTCTCCTTTCTGTCCCACCTTCTGCTTGTTTGGTGCCCTCCCCTTCTCCCCCACCCCAGGCAGTGGGTGGCGGGTTCCTTCCCAAAGTGCTTACTTGGAAAGAGTGTGGCTATTGGACTCTTTCAGAAGAGTCCCTTTGAGTCAGGAGCCTGGCAGGGACAGAACAGAATATGTCCATAGAGGACATTTTAGGGAAGATAAGTGTTCAGGTAAGGTCGGCTCCTACCCTGGCCTAAGAATGGAGTCCTTGCAGGAGGAAAGGGTCAGTGCCTGCTCAGTTTCTGTCAGGGAAATGAGAGTCTCCCTGACTCCCTCCTGGGCCCTCTCCATCTTGGGGCTGACAGCCGCAGACTGAAGCTCCTGTGCTCAGATCCTTGACATCTAAAAAGCATTGGAGGCTAGAGGAGCTGACTTAACCTTGGCTTTCCATGGGTTCATGATAGGCTTGGAAGTGCCATCCACTTCCTAAGTGTCCTGTCTTCAGCTTCTTCGTGGCAGCCTCACTACAACCTCAGAACAGACAAATCATGAATGAGCAGGAACGTTGCAAGAATATACATATTATAAATGTATGTAGAGATATATATTCATTTAGATAGGGAGAGAGCTTTCAAGGTCAGCGGCAACTCTGTGAAGGACCTGGGTAATTCACCCTTGGCCAAAGGAAGGGGTTTGCCTGTCTGGCTCCTTAGGTTGGCGCAGGCACTTAGCAGTGATCCTTGACTTTGGGTACACATCACCCTGCTGAGGGGGCTGCTGTGGCCCTGGGCGGGCAGCTCCTGCAGTTCTCTGTCCTGGGGCAGGGCGGCAGGCTTGGAAGCCCCTTTGTGCTGGGCAGCTCTCCACCCAGGGCCCCGGGAGCTATGCTCCCTGCAACACAAAGGGCCATGGGGCTTCTGGTTTTCATGGCAAAGCTCCACCCCAGAGCTCCCTTTAACATCTGCTAATTAAGTGCAATAGATGTTTCTAGAAAATGGCAAGGATGACTTCCAGGCAGATATTGCTATCTTACAGTGTTGAGGATGCCAGAACACCACTTGGTTAAAATAATCTAAGTGCATGTGATGTGATAAGAGTGCGTGGAGCTCTGTGTCCTCCCCTGGGAGCTGGCATTCCAGTGGGCCCCTCTCTCCTTTACTTTTGTTGGGGGAAGGAGACAAGAGAAAAATCCCTTCTTCCCAGCTGGAGAGGGCGGAAGAAGACCGCAGCCCATAGGCCTTTTGTGGTATGTGCATGCGGGTGTGTCGTGCTGGTGGGCCAGAGCAATGTGGTGGGGATGGAAGCTGGGAATGTATCCTTTTCAAACAAAATTAAATATTTTGAGATGAGAAAAAAATAAAACTATCAAAAACATCAATTACTTAGGGATAAACTTAATGAAGGATGCACAAAACGTCTATACTGAAAACTATACCTGCTGAAAGAAATTAAAAATCTAAATAGTTACAGAAATATGCCATGTTCATGGATTAAGAAGGCTCAATATTGCTATGATGTCAATTCTCCTAAAATTGATTTAGAGTCAGTTCAACTTCAAATAAAATCCTAGTAGGCTCTTTTGGTAAAAAAAATTACAAACTGATTATAAACTTTATATAAAAATGCAAATGACCGAGAAGAGCCAAGGTAATTTTTAAAAAGTAAAGTTGAAGGACTTATACTACCTGATTTGAAGACTTACTATAAAAGCTGTGAAGCCTCAGGCTAAGTGCTTTCTTTTAGCTTATGTATATTGCTTGTTTTTACAAAGTTGGTTTGAGCAGGCTGATCGCAGTAAATTTGGGGATGAACCAAAAGGGCAAGCGCATGGGCACAAGGGGCCAACCAATCAATGTAAAGGTCAAGCGCGTGGACAGGTTATGCACCTAGGGTATAAAGGGCTCTGTCCCACAGTGCACGGGGTCTTTGTCCCAATAGAGGCCGCCATATCGGTGCTCTGGGACTTGGACCCTAGCTCGAGCTAGTCAATAAAACTCCTTTTGATGATTTCAGCCTCAGTGACCCTGTCTCTTTGTTCTGTGGTCCTACGGTTTCCCGCTGTAACAAAGCTACAGTAATATCTTGTCATGACTTCTTTTCCAAAAAAAAAAAAAGCTACAGTAATAAAGATAGTATGTCTTTGCCAAAAGGATAATGTATTAACTGTATTTTCTTATTTTCTGTATTCTTGATGCTCTGGCATCTGGGGCTTAGCTGATCCTGGAGAGACTGCAGGGCTAGCTAATTCCTAGAGATGGCAAATACTTGACCTTGAGCATGCCTTTCATATTCAAACCAATTAATACACAGCCCTACCCACGACTACCCCCTTTATTGAGCTCTCACCACCGGTTGAGCCACTATCCCCTTGCTCTTAAACCTGCCTAGCCTGTTTCCGCTGCTTCATCCATTCCTTCCCACAAAATATACAATCAAGCCTCTGGCCAGTGCTTTCCCCTCACTCCTTCTACCTCCTGACTGACCCTGGTGCTTCCCATGTGGCCATGAAAGGTGTGATATGCCCCCTCCTCTTGAGAACTGTGAATAACAAACTGTCTTTTCAATGGCAGTTGTCTCTTGATCTGTTGGCATCACCATACTTAAATAATAATAAAACTTACCTTTTAAAACAGATAGACAAATAGATTAATTGAACAGAAAAGAGAGCCCAGATATAGGCTCGCATATATAAAGTCAATTGATTTTGATAAACATGCCAAAGAATTCAATGTGAAAAAGAAAGTCTCTTCAACAAATGTTTCTGGAATAACTAGATATTAGTATCAAAAAAATGGAACATCAATCCTCATATTACACAAAAAAATGGGTCATACACCTAAACTGAAAAAGCTAAAATGATAAAACTTATTTAAAAATGAGAAAATCTATGTGACCTTGTGGGAGGCAAAGATTTCTTAAATAAATCAGAAAAAGTACTAATGATAAAAAAGATGATAAATTAGACTTCATCAAAATTAAAATGTTTATTCTTTGATAGGCACCAATAAGAAGATGAAATCGCAAGCCATAGACTGGAAGAAATATTAGCAACACATATATCTGGCAAAGCAGTTGTATACAGCAAAATATATTAAAGCTCAATGATAAGAAGACAAACGGCCCAATAAAAAATGGGAAAGAGATTGAATAGACATCTCACAAAAACATGCAAATGATCAATAAGCACATGATTACTCTCATCAGAGGAATGCAATTTAAAATCACAATGAGATACCAATACATATTCAGCATAACAGCAAAAATTAAAGAGATTGATGATAACTGGTCTTGGTGAGGATTTGGAGTACCAGGAATTCTCATGTATTACTACTGGGAATGTAAAATGGTATAGCCCCCTTGGAAGATAGTTTGGCAATTTCATATAAAGGTAAGCATACACTTACTATATGACTCAGGAATTTCAATCCTAGGTCTTTACTCAAGAGAAATGTAAATCGCATGTTCACACAAAGACATACCAGAATAATCACTGCAGCTTCATTCATAATAACTAAATATGAACCACTTATCCATCAACAAGTGTACAGATTAACAAATTGCAATATATTCATACCATGGAATACAAAAAGAACAAATTAGTGATATACTCAATAACATGAATGAACTGCAAAATCATTACACTGAGTGAATGATGTCAGATCCAAAGTGTACATACACTATGATTCCATTTATATGAAACCCTAATAAAGACAAGTCTAATCTATAGTGACAAAAAGCACGTCAATGGTTGCCTGGGGCTGAAGTGGTGGTGAGTACTGACTGCAAGGGGCTTGAGGGAGCATTTTGTGTGACAGAATATTATATATCATTACTTCCATGTCCCCATCTGCCTGGGTCCTACTCACTCACCCGAACCACTCTGGTGTGGGGCTTCCCCCTCCAACATCCATGGCTCCTCTCCTTGCTCCAACTTGAAAATGACCTCTGGCTTGGGAACTTCAAACCCTGTTAACAGGACATGATAGAGAATTGGGTCCAGCTAATCGCTTTCCATTTGTTCTTTGGAAAAGTAACAACATTTCATTGGGAACAGAGAATAATATTCACAGAGGTGAAAAGGGACTGGAGTATCTCAGACAAATCAAGAATGACACCATTGCACACCTCAGATGCCCCAGATGTCTCAGCAGCTGAGAATGCAAACACTCTCACTGAGGTGTGATATTAGTTATTACTAGGGCTACCGTAACAATGTATCAAAAACTGGGTGGCTTCAAACAACAGCAATTTATTGTGTCACATTTCTAGAGCCTAGAAGTCTGAAATCAAGGTGTCAGAAAGGCCATGCTCTCTCTGATGGATCTAGGATAGAGCCTTCCATGCATCTTCCAGTGTTTGCTGGCATTTCTTGGTGTTCCTTGATTTATAAATGCATCACTCCAGTGACATGGCCACCTTCTCCCTGTGTGTCCTCATATTGTCTTCCCTCTATGCATGCTTGTGGAAGCATCACCCCAATATCTACATTCATCTTTACATGATGTTCTCCCTCTGTGCATGTCTCTGTGTCCAAATTGCCACTTTTTATAAGGACACTAGTCATATTAAATTAGGGCCCACCTTAAAGACCTCATTTTAGCTCAAACTATTTCCAACTAAGGTAACATTTGGAAGTACTGGGGTTAGAATTTCCACATAGATTTTGGAAAGACACAATTCAACTCACAAGCATCTTCCCTCTAGCCCCTCAAAATTCATGTCCTTCACACATACAAAATGCATTCACCCCATCCCAATATCCTCAAAAGTCTTAATCATTCCAGTATCAACTTTTTTTTTTATTTTTGAGACAGAGTCTCACTGTGTTGCCCAGGTTAGAGTGAGTGCCGTGGCGCCGCCAGCCTAGCTCACAGCAAACTCAAACTCCTGGGCTCAAGCGATCCTACTGCTTCAGCCTCCTGAGTAGCTGGGACTACAGGCATGCGCCACCATGCCTAGCTAATTTTTTGTATGTATATTTTCAGTTGGCCAATTAATTTCTTTCTATTTTTAGTAGAGACAGGGTCTCGCTCAGGCTGGTTTTGAACTCCTGACCTTGAGCAAATCACCCGCCTCGGCCTCCCAGAGTGCTAGGATTACAGGCGTGAGCCACCACGCCCAGCCAAACCATTCCAGTATCAACTTATTAAGTAAAAAATTACATCTAAACATTATCAACTCAAAGTCTCAAATATCATCATCTAGATCAGGCATCCTCGAACTATGGCCTGCGGGCCACATGCGGCCCGTTGAGGACATTTATCTGGCCCGCCTGGAGTTTTTCTGCTGCTGCCTGTCCTGCTTAGCAGCCGACTCGTCCTGGGCCCACAGTGCGCATGTGTGGAATGTGTGCCACACTCTCCAACGGCCCTCCAACGGTCTGAGGGACAGTGAACTGGCCACCTGTTTAAAAAGTTTGAGGACCCCTGATCTAGATCATCCAAGTCAGTTAGGGGTAAGACTTGGGGTATGATTCATCCTGGGTAAAAATTCCTCTCCATCTGTGAATCTGTGAAACCAGACAAGTTATCTGCTTCTAAAATATAATGGTGGGACAGGCATAGGATAGATATTCCCATTCCAAAAGGGAGAGATCAGCATGAAAAAAAGAGATAATAGGTCCTAAATAAGAAAACCTAGCAGGGAAAATTCCATTAAATTTTAAGGCTTGAGAATAATCCTCATTGGCTCTATGATCTGTCCTCTAAGCCCTCTAAAGTAGTGGTCCTATCCTGTCAGCCCTGGGCTAGGAATGACACCCCTGACTATTATTATCCCTAGTGGTCCACTAGCAAAATTTTTGCTTCCTGTCCCAGTGACCATATGCTCTGCCACTCTAGAGGTCTTAATACCAAAGGGAAGAATGCTTCCGCTAGGAGACACAACAATGATTTCACTGAACTAGAAGTTAAAACTGCCACCTGGCCACTTTAGTTCCCTCATGCCTCTAAATCAACAGGCAAAGAAGGGAGATAGGGTTTTGGCTGGGGTGACTGATCCTAATTACCAAGAGGAAATTGGATTATTACTCCACAATGGAGGTAAGGAAGAATATTTCTAGAATATAGCACATCCCTTAGGGTATCTCTTAGTATTACCATACCCTGTGATTAAAGTCAATGGAAAACTACAACAGCCTAATTCAGGCAGGACTATGACTGGCCCAGACCCTTTAGGTGACAAAGAATCTCTGTCCAAACTTTAGTCAGGCTCCTCTGAATCCTCTTCCCAACTAGGCCTCAACATTTGGACTTTAGTGTCCATCTTTGCATCGCCCAATATTAGCAAGAATCCTGTTAAGTCAGTTTAGCCAGAATCCCCAAACCTCAATATCTGATCACCCTTAGCTAACCAAATTCCTCATCTTCCACTATCCCCCATGTGATACTGATCCCCCTGGCCTGCCTGTAGCAAGAACATTGTTAGGTCAGTTTAGTAAAAATCCCCCCTTACCTCTAATGTTTCTTCTCAGTAATTTTCCATCTACTGGCCACTCTGCTCCTTGGCTGTAAGTCCCCACTTGTCTGTATTGTATCTGGAATTGAGCTGAGTTCTACATTGGGGTCTCTTTTCCCCTACTATAAAAGTTCTGAATAAAATCTGTTTTTACTGCTTTAACTACTATCCAACCTTGCTTTTTCTTTGATAGTTATGGTGTGGGACTCAGAAAAGATCAGATTCATCACTGGACCCCAGACCTTTCACCCAGGACTCCAACTGTGTACCTTTGAAGGCTTTGTCTTCACTCCTGGCTAATTGATTAGGAAATTAATTGATGAGTCTGACTCACAAACCACTGCTCTAGATGACAGTTCACTGAAGCACAATAAGGACAGATTTTGATTCTTAAGATTCTGAGTATACTCTAGAGGCTAGGTTCAAGTCCCAGTTGAGCATCTGTTTATAAGAAGGTAGGCTATAATCCAAGGCAAGGAAAGGCTGGGGGAGAGTCCTAGGTTTCTCTCTTTATAAGAGGGTAAGCTCTATAAGAAATGGGAGCTGAGTTAGAGTCCCAAGTTTCTGTATTCATAAGCGCAAAGGTACCATTGTTAAGAACATGGGAACTTCTCCATCAACTAAAACACACCTTCTTGACCCCTGCTGACTATATGTTCTACCAATTCTACTCAATTCCTTTCTCATTGGCATGATTTTGCTGAGGATAATATGGAATTTAAAGAACCTACTTGGGAAACTTGACATCTCTCAAAACTAGCTTTTCTAAGACCTCTCCCTTCCCATTGCTTCTGTTCCTCCTTCTTCCTTTTACCACCTTTGATCTTCCCTTCAAGTTCCCTTGAATCCATTGATATGTCCGCTTTCAAATACCTACCTCCTCTACCCCTGCCAGAATTTACCCGTCTTATTTTAGCCCCTTAACTCACTATGCTCACTTGAACTTTGGGTCTCCTCCCGCCACTGGGGGCTCTCAAGAGACTGAGGGATCCCTAAAAGCAACCACTTAAGGGTGAAAGAGAAAAAAAAGAAAATTGGAAATAGACTAGATATTTTATCCACTTAGATGGGCTTTGGAGACATCCAGACAGTTGCGTGCTGTCCCCTCAGTCTCTCACCTAAAATTTAGTCCACAGCCTCCATAAGATTAGATATCAGATCAAGAAAAAATCCCAAATATCTCCTCCACAAATACTGGAAAACAGGTAACTTTGATTTGTTCTATCTACCAAACACCATGATTTGGATAAAAATATCAAAGATGAAAGTGTACTAAAATTTTAGAATAGAAATCTACAGGACCTCTGTTTCATCTGTTCATATGTTTGTACATTTATGTTTATATATGTATATATTTTGTGCCTATGTAATATTTTCTACCTCCAGATAGTATTACCAAATTAATTTATAAAATTTAAGAGTTTAGGAGTTCTATGCAAATCAACTTAGAGATAAGTGAGTGCTTACATAAATTAAAAATTACTAGAACTCTGAGAAATATAGAAACTAACCCCAATGTTTTACAAGTCCATGTGGCTTTTAATATATTTTTCATCTTTTGGTATTTTAGTATTTTATCCAAATTGTGATAAATTTTTGATAAATAAGATTAGTTTAATATTGTTAGTTTAATAAAAATAGCTGTGTCTTCTAAATTATCAGCATTAAATACTAGTCAAATAAACTGATACTATATTTACTAAGTGTTTAAGATTATAAAAACTATGAAATCAACCTAAGAACAAATTTACAAGTAAAGATGAAGTAAAAATGAATTGTTTAGCCAGACATGGTGGCTCACACCTATATAATCCCAGCTACTCAGGAGGCTGAGGTACAAGGATCACCTGAGGCCAGGAGTTTGAGACCAGCCTGGGCAACACAGCAAAACTCCGTCTCTAAAAATAAAAAAAATAATTTTTAAAAAAGAGCTGGGCATGGTGGTTCATGCCTGTAGTCCCAGCTGCTTGGGAGGCTAAAGCAGAAGGATCACTGGAGCCCTGGAATTTGAGGCTGCAGTGAGCTATGATCGTGCCATTGTACTCCAGCCTGGGTGACAGAGGGAGACCCTGTCTCAAAAAAAAAAAAAAAAAGGAAAAAGAAATAAAAGAGAATTGCTTGATATCTATTATTTCATGTGTATCAAATATAGCAGTAAGACAAAACAACTCAGGTATTTAACTTTTTTAGGTTTTTGCTTCATGTGATGCTTGCCTAACATGCATATGGTGTAAAAATAGTTAACAGAGAAATAACTTGAGATAATGACTCATCTTGTTTGGTGTTATGTCTGCCTAAAAACAGTTTCTAAAATATTTTTGGTAACTTGCAACCTGAGCATTATGCTAAGTTAGACAACAGATATTCATTAATTATCTAGATTATTTCTAGGTAAGATAAACTAAAACTTTAATTATTAAACACAAGTTTGCATAATTATAATTTTAGCTTACTATTTTTATATGGCATAGAGAAGCTAAAGATATTTGAGTCTGTTCATAAACATGTTC